CCCATTGTATGTGATTTGACTACAAGCCAACCCCTTTACCCCATAAATATGAAATGACAGCCTAAGCGAGCCTTCTTTGAGCTCTCCCTGCTAGGCAGCATGGCAGCATAGCGGTGATCGCCAGCAACGAGACCTTTTACCAACGACAGATTGGTGGATTAGCCCAATTTGAATTATCCCTGAATGGCAACTGGGCTGCACACCAGGCAACTCTCCCCTTGAGCAGGGATGCCTCTCAGTGGTAAGAGATATTAATTGTTTGGCTCAAGTAAGTTTTAAATGGAATGAATCACTTAGAATTATAACGTTGTGCGATTTAGTGTGCGTTTGCTTAGCTTTACTCACTTAGCATGAATAGCTAGATTGGCTGAAGCCTCAGGACGCAGGCTGTAAATTTCCACTTAGATTTACTGAACAGGTACCTACTTAGTCAAAACAGGGCCCCCAGAACCAGCACAAATCAGAAGATAAAGGAGGCTCCAAGGCTACAACCATCAACAGCAGCTGCCACCAGACAAGGTAACAGCCTGTCTGGAGACAATGAAGAAACTCAACAAGGAGTCAGAAGATGTCAGACCAGAATCACTTTTGGATCAAAGGGCACATGAAGACTGCTTGGGGGGGGCAGGGGTGTAAATAGTCTGTAAGGCTGCAATTGCCGAGGGATTTCTTTGTTTGGGTTCTTTTTCCTGGGGGCTCCTCTCTGAAGGCACCCAGCACAAGCTGACCCTACCTCTACTAAATTATTTATTTTTATAAAATCTGATGCCTGAGAGTCTGCTTCAGGAAACCTGGGGTTTGAACTTTGGAGCGAACTAACACCAGATGTCTGGAAGGAAGGTAAACGAATTGGGAATAAGCATGCTGAAACTTTGAAATCTTAGCTAAGTGATATAAAGTACTGAGTGAACACATATAATCTTTTAGCCATAACCCACTGACCAATTCCGGGACTAGGAGTGGATCTAGCCATATCTAGACCCCTCTCTGAGAAGGAGTTTAGAAAGCAAGAGGGTCCATTCTGAACCCTGTGACTCAATGGGAGGTTCTCCCTTACATTAAGGCCAGAGATGCAAAAAGGTAAATCATTCTAAATCAATTCTAACTCAACTTTCCTTTGAATGTTTCTTTTATGTAGTATGTTACAAGAGTGAACCTTGCCAGTGAAGTCTGTTATGTTGCGCTTCTACAAATTCATGTTAAAATCACTTTTGCCAACACTTTTGACTGTGATTCTTTAAGCGATCTAAAACACTCCTCCTTGACAAACTGGCACAGCAAGCATGGCCCTAAATCAGCATTTCACGACAAACTGGCATAGTCGGCAGGATCCTAAATCACTCATTCACAACAATGTGGTATTCATACTGGACCTCAACACCCACAAAAACTTGACTACTGAGAAGGTAAGCAATATTTCTCAATGTCTCCTGTGAATTAATTCTTAACTCCTTACATTCTTTTGGTGGCTGTATGTGAACAAAAAGCTTTTTAGGATAGTGGGAGCTAGGAAGCTTAGCAGCATTCATCAAATTAACTGAAATCCTGCCCTTCCAAATATAAACTCTCACAGAAGCTGCATTCAGCAGTATTTAAACACTTCAGGCAATAGCAACAGACTGAAGATGCAGACTGACAACTCCACTTGAGCACAGTGGAAACGAATCTTATGGATCAGAGGAAAAGGTGCAGTGGCCATCTGGCAGACAACATAGTACATCACTACACCATTGATTCTAACAGTCTCATGAGACAGCCTGCCTCTTTTAAAGAAAGGAGAAGAAATACTCCAAAAAAATGTGATGCTCTTATTAAAAAGAAGTCTCTTTTACTTAAGAGCTCCATTCATAAAGGATCTCATTTGCATATTACTGAGAAATACAGTTAAGCTAAAACCATCAACTTACACAAAAATCACTCTTGTCAACCAAGAAGTTGTGGCATTCCCATCACTGTCAGGATGGGTATGATGACCCCTAACCTACCAGCAGCCTTGCCCTCAACATCATCCAGCACTCAGTAAAGGTGCAGCAGTACTGTCATGACTAGTATCTAGTGTCAAGACATAGACAAGGGAATAATGGTGTTTTTCAGCACGCTACAAACTTTTCTTTGCAAAGGAATTACAAAGGAGACATTGAAAATTCTTCTCTTCTACTATTGTCAAACCACTCAATTCACATGCATGAATCTCCCATCACATGTTGTGACTTCAGAATAAAATAAAAAAAGCCTTCTTTATATATGAACTCAGGTTTAGCAGCAAAAGACAGCAAATTAGAAGAAACGTCTTGCCTACTCTTTTCATAGCTCAAAGGAAATTCATGCATCCACCACAGCCAATGATCTCCCAAAGTAACATACAGTTGATACCCTATTGCAAGTTATGAAGGAGCTTTTATTTTTATTTATTTATTTTAAAACAAATGCACATACCACAGTTCCCACAGCGGTTCTGCTGACATGGTAAAATGGTTCACAAGGTGCAGCTGTCAGATTGCCACAATCCAAATAAAATCCAGCTGCTCACAAGCTAATGATAGCTTTGTGAAGGTGATTCAGGGAAACAGCTTTTTCATTTTGAAGCTCATCCAATACCAACAACTGTCTTATATTTTTCAACACAATTCTCTGTGGTAACTGTTTCTCACTTATTTCTCCCTCCAGAATAGCCATAGGCTTGAGGAAGTCACAAAGCAAGCAATTCTTGCTCGTATTTCCTTATATTCAGCTGCATTTCTGTAACAGGACAACAGGTTATACCAGCCTCTAACACACCGCACAACTTTCCATCTCAGCCCTCCAATACTGGTCTTGCCACACTAAGACTTGCAAATGCTTGCTGATGCTGCTGAGCAACACAGTGAAGTGTGTATTACGTGGTGGCTTTATCTTTTTTTTTAAAAAAACAACTTTATCGACTCTTGGTAATGACATCATCCCACTACAGAGCAAACAGAGGCCTATCATCAAACCCCAAATTTTCTGATGCTGTTTTAATACAGAACAGGAGACAAAGACAGCTCTCAAAGACACTGACCAGAGAAGGAGACCAAGGATGGCTCAAGACAATTCTGTTCCTTACGAGTTTGCCAGACAACACTGACAGCAAAGGACTCGTGCAGTTCCATCACTTTCCTGCTCAACTTTTTTTTTTAATGTGGGGGTTTTTTTTGTTGGTTTTGGGTTGTTTTGTTTTGTTTTTTTATAATGACCACATGCATAACTTAAGTGGGATGCACAACAATCAGCCAGCCAGCAAGTTAACGTTTGGGGCCTCTAAGTAGTGCCCATCACCATAACAGTAAGTTAAATATTAACATAGTAAAGGACATTGAAAGAAGGGGGAGATTAGGAAACTTCTGAAAGCAATATAGAAAGAATACTGAAGTATAATTTATAGACAGACCCTGGTGAATAAAGCTATACTAGCTAAACTACCCAGGCAGGGAGCTACCTTACACAGCAAACCAGCCATTCCCCTCTCCTCACTGTCTCGTATCATTAAGTCGCACAACAAACTGTACAAGAAAGGAAGCCCCTACAGCTAAACTGACTTACAGCTAAATTGACTTAAATTGACTGCTTGCAAGTTACAGCTCTCTAACTCTGCCTCCCCCAAATATGCAAAGCTCCTGAAGCAAAGACAGCCTCCCACATTAATATATAGTTGTAGCTATAATTACATTAGAAGAGACCTATCAATCTAGGAATTTCAATACAGTCTACAAAGAAAACATTCGTAGTGGGAATGCAATGATTCAGTGTGTAGCTTTACAGATAACTGTGGAGAAAAGTAATCTTCTGCCTTGAGCAAAATGAACTGCACTATGAAAGTGACAGTTCTGTAACTAACTATGCCAAGAAATTTTACTGGTAGGGGTGCTTCTGGCTGGGAATCACATCTCCATAATCCAGCTGAAAAATCTAGACCAGCAAATGCCTGGGTGGCCAGAAAACTCTATAAGCACCTTTTCTTGTATCAGAAGCACATAAATCAATTCCAGCTCATCACAGACAATTTTTTTTTTTTTTTTTTTTCAGGAAACCATTTCATTTTCCTATCTTTCTTTCTTCCTTTAATCAATCAATACCAATTCACCAGTCAGTGTTAGCACTCCACTTTAATCTTCTGGTAAAACAGCAGCACCATGTGATAGCTCTCATATACTTGCATCAAGACTAGCAGTGTATTTTTCTGCAAACAGTTTAGGGCTAGTTTGGTAATAACTTTCTGTAATATGCACTCAATTTACAAGCCCTCAAAACCACAAGCAGCCACGAAAAACAGTAACGTGTCTGCAGAGAAATGTCAGGTCTTCCAGGAAAACTACTTCAAGATACTTTAAAATACTGAGACGTATTAAAACTCATCTCAGCTCTGGTACCCTTTGCACGAAAATGAGCTGGCTCAATCCTCTCTGATCATCCTATATAGAACCAGTGTGATCGTTTTAGCACACCATTAATTAAAATACAGCAATCTAGAAACTTAAAAGCTTTCATCGACACTTTTCCTCCAGACGGATGTGTGCGCCATGTGCCAGTCAAGACACTTATCAAGTGACTGGAAGTAGCCAGGAGGACAGAGTTAAAACAGGCAGAGCTATTTTGGGAAACAATGATGCTTTAGCAGGGTCACATTTGTTTCAGACCCAGAAGAAATCAAGCAAAGCAGATTTGAGTACAAATTGACAAATATGCACATGCTCTAAACAGCTTCTCTTTAACTAGAAAGGAGTCTTCAGACAAACAGTAGTTTGTCTCCTGCTATAATAAAGAATACAGGGAGGACAGAGTTTGTTATGTTGAATAAAAATGCTAAATTAAGTCTGGTTTCAAAGCTTGTCCCAAGCAAATGGATTTTCTGATCTGCATTTCATTGAAATACCAGTACAACACCAAGCAATAGCTTGTGTTACCAGCATAAGCATTCAATTCTCTTACTGAAAAGAACTATAGGTTTAGTGGAAAGATTCTGTTTAATGTTTACTTTCTACCTTTTGTAGTATCTGAAATGCTGTTTAGCAAGGCGCACATCATTTCTCCTTCAATGTGGTGAGGATTTAGGATGTGAGCTGGCCTCTGGGTCATCTTAAATTGATTTTCCAGTTCCAGGAAGCTTTTGTCTCCAGAAAGTACAGTGAAAGGAATTTGCTTGGGCAGGTGCTCATCCAGACGTCCAGCCTGTATGGAAACAAATGAGAAGTGCTGAATTGGGATCACGGTTTTATCTTAGGTTTGGCTAGCTTTTTGTAAGACAGGTCTTCATAGGAAAGCCTTCTACATCAACTTACCTCCACTTCTATGGTCTGACGCACGTTATACCACTGTGAAAAGTATTATTTCAACAGTTTGACACTGCCTTTATTCTATACATATGACAATATAGGAAATGGCTATCAGAACAGTACAGGAGGAGTATGGAACAAATTTCTAAAAAGCTGCGTTTCAGAATCATCTCCACATAAAACAAGTCATCTGTGCAGAGCATTTTAAGAATCATAAAAAAAAGTGTAACGTAACATACAAACACTGTTACAAAACAAGCTTATATCACATCATATAATTAGATTTTCAAGTAGTTTTATCTAACTGGTAAAGCACTGTATTAAGAACACAAGTCCCCATGGCGTCTCAGATTCCTGCCCTTCACCTGCACCTCTCCCAAACCAGCCAAAGCCCTAGGTCTCCTGAACAGAGGCACTGGTCTTCCTCAGCCCAACAGGGTCTCTAAAAGCGGCACCCATCCAACTCCATCTTAAAGATGGCTCTAGATTTAGGCTACTTGGAGAGGCAGGAGTTATATTTCTCTGAAACAGAAACTGTAAGAATTATGGGGGTTTTATTCTTCATTCCCTACCCATCCCCCTTCCCCTCCAGAACAGACTGATGTCCTATTCAAGCTAACTTTTTTATTCCTATGGGAAAAAAAAAAAAGAAAAAAAAAAGGCAGTAAATCACTTTTCAACAGGCTGTATCCACTTAATTCAGTGACAGGTTTATCATTCTTTTTAGTGGATGTAGAAGTCACATGAAGAGAATCTAAGAATCTCATCTGTATATATTACTTAATTAATTAATTAATATGAATAGCAGGCATCATCTGCCACTCTCCTCTGGGTACAGAAACACAACAATACAGAAAGCGTGCACTAACTTACATGAACACAGAGAGCAAAGTCTGCTGCTTCTCTCCTGGTACTGCAACGTGGATGAAGAAAGAAACATCCAATCCTCTTAAGATACTCGTAAATTTTGCACTGCACTGGAGGTTTCCAGTTGTTGTGTCCTCCTAAACAGTGAAGAAAAAAAAAAAAAAAGAGAGAAAAACCCAGAAATGTCACCATGAATTAAGAATGCAAGAAGGCAAAAGCAAAGATAAAGCTGGCTTTAAATACAAAATTTACTTTCACCAATGTGAAAGCTAAAATAAACACATAGCCAAAATCCCAGAAGAACCCTTGTTCTTCTGTTAGAAAGAAAAAAAAAAAAGCTAGCCTGATCCTACACAAAGCCTCTCACTCAATTTTGTATGAATCTTCCTTCTAATCATGAAAATCTTATCCTCCAGATATCATGTGTGTTTAGACATAAGGATGGGGGGTTTCCCCAGTTTTAAGCAGTTAGGGTTAACGCGCAGAAGCAGAGGAGCTCTGTGAACACAGAACAAGTAACAGAAATGCTTCTCTTAGGGAATCCTATACTAACGTAATGCCCAAGATTATTTCCTACAGACTATCACTGCCCGACAAAAATCACATGTCAGAACATCCAAGAAGAACCAAGAACAGGAGTAACAGCTCAAACAAGTTCTAAGAGTCCTAACAAACACTTGGATGTAATCACAGATAAGGAAATGAGGCTACAACTGGGGAAAAAGTAAGTGCAGGAATTTTCTCAACAGTATCCTAAAACATGTAGTTACTGGCTGAGAAAACAGTTGGATAATAGAGATGAGCTAGCAGGCCTGCTACAGCTAAAAACAATACCAGGGTGAAGCAGGTTGAAAGGGAAAGGAAAGGAGCAGCAAGTCTCTCAAGAAGACAGGGGAAAACAGAGGAGCTTGAAGTTACTATGATGACATAAAAAGACAAAGAAATGGAAAGACAATTTGAAGGGAGTGAATAAGAATTTTCATAGTCTTCCCAACTGCTAAGAAACAATGGGTCTGCAATAGGGAGGAAAAAGTCATTGCTTTATCTGCCAGATGATAGCGTGGCTGGATGTAAGAAAGGATTTTGATGGAAAGTGAAAGCAGTCATTGATGGCACTTCATGTGAGGACATCTGAAACTAAAGCTCAAGTAAACAGGCTGCAGAGGACTCTATATTCCAACCTGACCACCCCCAGTCTGACAAAGAAGTAGAAGTAATTTTCGGTAGGTTTCTTCTGGTTTTGGGGTTTTTTTGGGGTGTGGTTTGTTTTGGTTTTTTTTTTTCTGTTCCCCCCCCCCGCCCCCTTCCAGCCTAATGGCTATAAAAGGATATCAAAAGTGATCTCAAAGCTCAAAGATTTAGTAACAGACTACATAGAAGTGATTTAGGGGTACCTGTTCATGAGAAAAATGCAAGTCATTCTCATCTGCTGTGACTCACTTGGTCACTGATATTTGGAAAAAAATCACCAACGCTGGCTTTTGGCTGCACAAACATACAACATAAACATTTGACCAGCACAGCTGAAAACAATGCCAGAACTCTATTTGCTCTGGCAGAGCTAGACCACAAATGGGTGAAGGACAACTGAGTATCTGAAAACAATACAGAACCTGGGCAATACAATGGAGGAACTCAAAGCAAAGCTAAGGCTGTATTAACAACAGGAGTAACAGAAATAATGCAAAACTATCACAAAAAAATAATTAAAAAAAAACCCCAGATATGATGTTTGGGAAATTCAGAAAAAAATCAGAAGAGACAGGGGTGTCACTGTATTTTCACAGGCTAAACAAACAAGAACAGCATGCATCAAATAACTCTGTAAACCATTATTACCTACAACAATAAATCCAGATGTGCTTGGGGGCCTTAGGGTTCTCAGGCTCTGTAACAATATAGTTGACACTAATAAACTGCTAAAGCGTTCTCAGATATTAATAAGGCCCATTTTAATCACCATTTGGCATAGGTTTTTCAGTTCAACTGCTCCAGGGGCCATTCCCACAAGGTGGCCTGCATACAGCAACCCCGTTTTGGAAGCAAGAAATTGAGTAGCACAGACGTGGGCTGTGCTGTGGCAGCAGGCACCTGTGTTTGGAGCAGCCCTGGGCACAGCGTCTTATCTAGCACAGAGATACCTTTTGGTAAGATTATCAAATTAATAGAGGTTCCTAACAATAGATTAGTAGCACTAAGACTGTACTATGGATTATTTCTCTTTCTCACAAAGGTCAGAGAAAAGACATTTCTGACAATACAGTTCAGACATTCCTAGGGTCAATCAATTTTTTCTTACTGAATCAAAACATTCCAAGGCATTTTAACCTTGGAAAACAGTAACAGCAGAGAAGACTCTGTCATAACAAACAAGCTTTGGTCAATTAATGACAAACCAGTTTTGAGTAAATTAAATAGAATAATGAAGTATGACTGAAAGCAAGTTTCTGAATTCAAGTGGGAAAAGTTTGACATAACTGTGAAAAATTATTCTTTACTAAATAATTCTTTATAAAATCCAGACAGAGTAGCTTTGGACTTTAGATGTCAAATAGGCTTGATGTTTCTTCAAGTCAGATTCTCAATAGTTTCTTATTTTTATCTGTAGAAAAAGGGAAAAAAATTCCAATGCCATGTAGATTGAATAACTATAAAAAACAAACCTTCATCAATTAAAAACCACAAATCACCATATCCTTAGAAGTCAAGGAGTGTAGAAGTAAAGTGAAATGTGACCAGAAGTCAACCTGGGCAAAGCCTCACGAAAGAACAAACAACAGGTTGTTCAGCCATGTAGAAAAGAGAATATAAATACATGGAGCAGCCAGGCAGCAAGAATGAACTATAAATCCAGGATGAACAGGTATAATCTAAACCCTCAAAAATCAGTATTTTCTGTGGCTTTGTGCATACACGCAAGAATATTGTTAGTGTACAGAAAGGCCAAAGGCTAGGTAACCACAATGCAGGCAATGAGTCAGAAGTAATGCCCGAGCAGAACACAGAACTCAGGAGCATAACCTGCTTTAACAGAGAAGACCAGAGGATTTGTCCCCAGAACTCTGAACAACCAGGTATTAGACTATAGGTGCAGGAGCACAGCCGACTGTTTGAAGAACTTACACTTTACACTGCCAGACATACCTGCTCTACCTTCATCAGCTAACTGGAGTGCTTCTAAGAGAATAAAGAAAAAAACAAAACAAAACAAAAAAGTGATTCAGGCATCAACAGGCCTTGCTGTCCAACCTCAGCAGCATGAAAACTCTCAGCTTTCAAAATGTTCTTGATTATCTTTTAAAGGAAGAGATAATCAAGAATGTAAGTAAAGAAGTAGTGCAGGGCAATGGGGTTTACTGAGTGTAAACCACACCTGACAATTCCTTCAAGTCTGTTAAGATGATGCTTATGTTTCAGGCAATAAATATTTTGAAACTATCCCTTATCTAGACTTTACTGAACTACTTGATGTACCACAGACAAAATAGTTATAAAGGCAGATACAGAGAAAACCAGTAGAAAAAGCATGAGGTGGACAAGAAGTTGGTTCAAGAATGGTCAGGTAAAGAAAAGTATCAAGTTAAACGGATGCTATTGGTAGATTTTGCAAAAAGTTTTCTTACAAACCCGTAACAATGTGAGTTCCATCAAGCACCTTGTACCACTACTGGTATCTTCCAGATGTGAGATGCACCTATTGATGTGCAGGATGACCAGGGACATGCTTAAGGAGCAAGCGAATGAAACTCAAGTACAGGAATGTAAAATCATGCTTTTTGGAATTAAAAAGAACATCAGGACAAGGACTTGGAAGTTAGAAAGAAAATAATCTCTTAAGTATCATGGCTGTCCCAATAATTATGAA